TATTAATATAAACTAAGCAAACGTGCATTGCACGTTGCTTGCACCTAGTAATATTATAAATGAATTGAGATATAAAATAATTGTATTAGAGAAAAAAGGAAATTAAATTCATTAACCGTTAGTTGAACATATCGTGTTTTTTAATATTGATTATTTTTTTGTTGGTGCACTAAAATTGAGAGACTAAATATTTTAGGTGGATGCTCTGGTCCAATTTATTTTAGTCGGCTGAGAATATATATGTTTATCGATTAAAGAACAATGAAATTTGAAATAATGTATTAATGCATTTAAATTTAATTCAATTCTCATCATTTTTTGGTAAATTTTACACACCCACCCCTAAGTAGGGGTATCATTCGATGTGCTTGATTAATGGAAACACAACTGTAAGCTCCAAATTTAGGTTTAATGATATAAATCGAGAATTAGGTATGGACCAATTACAATTATTACGCTTAATAAAAAGTCAAATTGGTGTGCAATTAGACATTAATGACAATAAATATTACTTGACATAAAATAAAAAATGTTACCAAACATCATTAATTGTTGACAATGAAATTAGGCAAATATATAGACTCTGATATCATGTTGTAAGGGACTCAAAATATCATGAGTCAACTTAACAAATGCCAATTAATGACAAATCTCAAAATTGACTTACGGTACTAACACAAACTATGTATATGGCTTTCGACTTTTTACATGTTCTACACAAATAATTCTCTCTCTCTCTCTCTCTCTCTCTCTCATACTTCCACATGAAGGTGGAAGAGAAAGGCACTGATTACACACGGGATGGGACTGTTGATCTAAAAGGCAGACCTGTCCTTAGATCAAACACTGGCAAATGGAAAGCTTGTTATTTCATTGTTGGTAAGTAAAAAAGAACGGATACAACCTACCCAATAGTCGATTCTAAACTCGCCCTTTATTACAAACTGATATCATTTTAACAGGGTTTGATGATAAATTTTTTATATAAACTGCAATGAGATCTGTACACAAGTTTTTTCAGTGTATCATGTGCTAGTAGCAAACGATTTCTTTTATGCAGGCTGACTCTTTTGTTTGAGTATGAAAATTCAAAACAGAATTAATGGATCCTCAATTATGTTATATTACAGGGTATGAAATATTTGAGAGGATGGCATATTATGGGATTGCATCAAACCTAGTAATTTATTTGACACAGAAGCTCCATGAAGGCACTGTGACATCCTCAAATAATGTCACCAACTGGGTTGGTACTGTATGGTTGACACCCCTTTTGGGTGCTTATATCGCCGATACTTTTCTTGGTCGATATTGGACTTTCCTCGTCGCATCAGCCATTTACCTTGTGGTACTTCTTTTAATTCCATTCTATCTCATGTTCGGTATGCAAAACTAAACACAATTAGACAATATAATTAACTGCTGGGAATTTACTTAAAATGCATAGCGAAAAATAATACAAATTTCAATTCCCACCAAGGATCTTCTTTGTATTTAGAAGGAAAATGTGATAGAAATTATACATTTTGTAAATTCTGCAAACTTTTTTGCTAATCTTGGAACACGAACAATCACGATCTTCAAATACATCTCTCTAATTGGTCAGCCTCCTATGAAAATCCACACAGGGAACATTAACGAGAGAATATGATTTCTATTTTCTTGTGCTAGCAAGAATATGAATTACGTTATGTTCTCTCTCTCTCTTTTTTTTTTTTTTTTTTTCTAAAACCCTAATGGNGAAGAGAAAGGCACTGATTACACACAGGATGGGACTGTTGATCTAAAAGGCAGACCTGTCCTTAGATCAAACACTGGCAAATGGAAAGCTTGTTATTTCATTGTTGGTAAGTAAAAAAGAACGGATACAACCTACCCGATAGTCGATTCTAAACTCGCCCTTTATTACAAACTGATATCATTTTACCAGGGTTTGATGATAAATTTTTTATATAAACTGCAATGAGATCTGTACACAAGTTTTACCAGTGTATCATGTGCTAGTAGCAAACGATTTCTTTTATGCAGGCTGACTCTTTTGTTTGAGTATGAAAATTCAAAACAGAATTAATGGATCCACAATTATGTTATATTACAGGGTATGAAATATTTGAGAGGATGGCATATTATGGGATTGCATCAAACCTAGTAATTTATTTGACACAGAAGCTCCATGAAGGCATTGTGACATCCTCAAATAATGTCACCAACTGGGTTGGTACTGTATGGTTGACACCCCTTTTGGGTGCTTATATCGCCGATACTTTTCTTGGTCGATATTGCACTTTCCTCATCGCATCAGCCATTTACCTTGTGGTACTTCTTTTAATTCCATTCTATCTCATTTTCGGTATGCAAAACTAAACACAATTAGACAATATAATTAACTGTTGGGAATTTACTTAAAATACACAGCGAAAAAAAATACAAATTTCAATTCCCCACCAAGGATCTTCTTTGTGTTTAGAAGGAAATTGAAATAGAAATTATATATTTTGTAAATTCTGCAAACTTTTTTGCTAATCTTGGAACACGAACAATCACGATCTTCAATCCACATCTCTCCAATTGGTCAGCCTCCGATGAAAATCCACACAGGGAACATGAATGAGAGAATTATGATTTCTATTTTCTTTTGCTAGCAAGAATATGAATTACGTTATGTTCTCTTTTTCTTTTTTTTCTAAAACCCTAATGGCTTATTAATATAAGTCCATGTGGGCTTGACCCGTTTTTAAACGAAATCCGGTCCAATATTTAATTAATTCAATTAATTAATTTTGGTCCATGAATTAATTAATCCAATTAATTAATTCGAGTCTATTAACAAGCAACCCAATCAATTAATTGTTTAACACTTGTTAATTAATTAATTGGTGAATCTCATTCTTTTGCTTCTCCTTTTGTGTGTGACCTATCAGGTTTCTGATCACAATGGCCAACGACGTGAATTATTTTTCTGATATAATCAAAATAATAAATTAAAATACCCCTTCTAATTTATCACCAATTCACATTCATCGTCCAAGTTTGACGAGAAATGTCACGTGGTATGACAAAACCAAACTTGTTCATTTACCGTAAAACTATAATCCATTCGTCAATATGATCCGATCAATTACGATATATGGATATGGGTCAATCTCAATTATTGATCATATCTTTCATTTTACTATTAAATCAATGTAAGTCGAAAATTCATTTTCGACTTATGAGTACACCTTGACCAAGGATTTAATTATCAATTTAACTGAATGAAATTTAGATCATAATCTCTTACTATCTAAGAGTGATGAATCCTCTATTGATTATTCACAACATTCGTATGATTCTTGACATACTCGAATAATGTACTGTTGAATCAACGATTGTTTCCTATTTAGAACCTTTCCAACACACCGCTTAAATGTAAACCAATATCCTGATTGAAATATGCTATCATTCTAGTCTGATTAGAAGTTAGCATCTGTGTATCCATGAACTCTCAGTTCATTTACTTAACATGCACAGCGAAAAATAAAATAAATTTGAATTCCCACTAAGGATATTCTTTGTATTTAGAAAGAAACTGTTATCCACTAAAAGTTATCCATGTGGAATCTCATAAGTGGGTCTCCAATATTTTGTTCTATAACAAAACATTCACATGAACATTTAAGTGTCATCACACTTTAACTTGTGAGATCCGCTACTTACTTCACAAGTAAGAAATGTCATAAGTGATGGTCTATCTATAATAACGATATTTGTATCTCGTTATTATATATGACCACGGACGATTTAAGATTTAATTATATGTAATTTGTATTTCACAATCCCAACTCATTGTTATTATTAAATTACTAATATTTGAATCTACAGATTCTATTATTTAATTAAATAATATATTTTCCATAAAATTGCATATATATATATATATATATATATATATTGAATTTGTATATGTCCAAAGTTGATTAGACTTAGAGCACAACACTTACGCTAACAAGACTTGCTTAATCTTGTACCATCATGATTATAATGCACTGTGTATTAAACATGATTGGACACTACAATGGACATTGTATAATACACCTTATGTCAAAAATGAATAATCCCGCGACCAAGAAACCCTTGGAAGATCAGCAAAAACAACTCAGTCATATTTTCCTGCTTTGTAACAGGGAATGTGCTTATTGACTCTAGCAGTATCATTGCCTGCATTGAGGCCTCCATCTTGTGGGCATGAAGTAAAGAATGTAAATTGTGAGAAACACGCCTCAGTATTACAAATCGGCGTATTCTACTGTGCGTTGTACATAATTGCAGTTGGAACAGGTGGAACAAAGCCCAATATCTCCACAATGGGAGCAGACCAATTTGATGATTTTGAGCCTAAAGAAAGGTTCCAAAAGCTCTCATTCTTCAACTGGTGGATGTTTAGTATCTTCTTTGGCACCCTTTTCTCCAACACTTTCCTTATATACATTCAAGACAATGTGAGGTGGGAAATTGGCTATGGCCTCCCAACACTTGGGCTCTTGGTATCAATACTTGTCTTCATTATGGGTACACGTTATTATAGACATAAGCCCCCATCAGGTAGCCCGCTGACTCGGATGGCTAGAGTGCTCGTAGCCACTATAAGGAAGTGGAAGGTAGTTGTCCCTGACGAACCTAGGGAGCTTTATGAGCTGAGCTTAGAAGAGTACTCCAATCCTGGTCTTTTTAGAATTGATCACACCCCTTCTCTCAGGTGCACATTTTTTTGCCATTCTTAGTCTTTTTAATATGTTTAACGGCTAATTATAAGTCCCACATCACTCGTGGAACTGGTATTTTACTTTCTGTAGTCTCCTGGATAAAGCAGCTGTCAAAATCGAGCCAAATTCGCCATGGATGTTATGTCCAGTGACACAAGTTGAACAAACCAAACAAATGATAAAAATGATTCCAATTTTATTTGCAACTTTCATACCGGCTATAACATTCGCACAGACAAGCACTCTCTTTATCAAGCAAGGCACAACTTTAGAACGAAGCATTGGTCCTCATTTCAAAATTCCTCCAGCATGTCTCACAGCATTTGCGACAATTTTCATGCTTACAAGCATTGTACTGTATGACTCGTTCTTCGTTCCCTTTGTACGAAAATACACGAAGAATCCAAGAGGGATCACATTGCTACAGAGGATGGGGATCGGCCTTGTGTTGCATGTCATAACCATGGTTACTGCTTGTTTAGCTGAAAGAAGGCGCCTAAGGGTTGCTAGAGAGAACGAAATCTTCGAGAAAAATCAAATTGTTCCTCTTTCGATCTTCATTCTTCTCCCACAGTTTGCTCTAATAGGGGTAGCCGATACCTTTGTAGAAGTTGCGAAAATCGAGTTCTTCTATGATCAAGCACCTGAAGGCATGAAAAGCCTGGGAAGTGCCTATTTTTCAACCAGTTTTGGAGTTGGATACTTCTTAAGTAGTTTTCTGCTGAAAACTGTGTCTGATATTACCAAGAAACATGGTAAAGGGTGGATTTTGGACAACTTAAACGTCTCTCATTTGGACTACTATTATGGACTTTTGGCTGTGCTGAGCTTTCTTAACTTGCTCTACTTTCTGGTAGTTGCAAAGCTCTTTGTTTACAGCACGGATATGAGAGATAGGAAAGGGAGTTGCGAGGCGATGGATGCCCAACGAAACAATTCTACACGATCCGAGGAAATAACTTTGAATGATAAAGCAAGATCGTAGAAATATCACTACATGATGCCATGTATCAGATGCAAATCTTAGTATTTTACAGGCAATTTCCCAACTTTTTTTTTAAAGTGCGTATACGGTCTCCCTTTTCTTCTCTATCTCCTGAAAAAAAAATCCCATTATTTGGTATTTTTCGTCTAGAAAGTATTTTCGCAATATGGCAATTTAGATTTCTAAAAATACAACAAAAAAATCCATGACTTGTTTGGTCAGGTATATTGTATAGTTCTAGACATTGAAAAGTACTGTGACGCGAAAAAATGAAGTTAAAATCTTGTAAATAATACAACCCGATCAGGGCCGACCATGAGTATTTCAAGGCCCTACACAACAAAATCTTATCAGGCCCTTAAACATTGGTTTTTTTTTGTTTTTTTTTGTTTTTCAAGTGTGAAAATAACATATTTATATTTTAAACAAAGACTTTGTACAATTCAAAAGATATGCCTCTAGTGGGAATTAAAATCAAATCTTTAATAGATTTTGATAAAAGTTGAAAAAACGTGTGGTTGAAATGTTATGGGACCTATGAAATAGGTGGTTAAAATTAATTATTGACTTTGGCTTAAATTAAAATTTTGATTTTAATTTGTACCAAACAAGGTCATATTATCAAAATAAAAAAA